AGAAGATTCGAGAGTTTTTATCGCTTGAAATGACGAAAAACAAAAAGGACAAGGACATCCCTCTGTTGGAGGGACAAAGGAGTCTGGTGGGATTCTTTTCGGAGTATTGAAGATCGTCTCCCCGACATCGGCGGTGCCTGCCACAGGACAACACGGAACGTGCGCGATTTGGACGCGATGAGCGGTGCTAGCGGAGCACGCGCGTGAGCTGCGAGCGCCGGAGCCTCGCAGCGGCGAAACTGAGGCTCCGTGGTAAACTGTGGTAACATGAAGAGCCGTTTGGGAGCCGAAACAGCCGGCGCTTTAAGAGAGCCGAGCCAAATGATCCTGTTCACTGACGTAAAAAGAAAGTATCTATAAGGGACGGCTCAAGTCAAAATTCAAATGGGGTTGGATTAAATCCAAAGCAGCCATACCCTGCTTTTATGAGTTTAATTCTAAAACGTTTGCAGTCTGATGTCCACAGTCCACAGGGATTGTTTTTATCGCCCACTCACCATCTCTACATTATACTCAACGCATAGGAACTATATAATACAATTATTGTATCTAGGCGCTGTCAAATTGCTCTGAGACTTTCCTACATTGGTCTCTTGGTGTTGCTATTTAAAATAAACTTCACCTTTTTGTGTTTTTCCTGCTTGAGCCACACTCAGATACTTAGACATTGCAATTCTAGTTGCTTTTTAGACATATTTGGATGTAGGACTAAGTGATGTCAAATTTAAGAAGAAGAAGTATCTATACATCTGGAAAAGACATTATTAACAACCAAAAAAGTGTACTCAAAATCAAAAGGTAGTATACATGATGCTCAACTCGGGTGTTTCCAGATTAGATTTGGTATATCTAGGTAGAGAAAAACCTTGAATATTCTTGTACGGTTGTGTTTGTTTACGAGGCAGTATGATAATTATAGGTGAAGTCATTGAAGTTGACAGATTTGAATTTGTGTTCAGCTTCACCTCCCTGCTGTGCGGTAACTAGCCAGCTGTCTGCAGATGTCAGGATGATGTGTGGACAGGAAACACACACACATCAGGAGCAGATGAATCAGTGTGTACTGTGTTCAGCTGTTTGTGTGTGCTGACGATGATTAATAAAGTGGCTGTCTGCGCTTCTTAGTTAAAGCATCTCAAACTGACAGTTTCTTGATGAATGGGATAGCGTGCAATAACAATGACAGCTTGCTGGTGGTGTAGGTATTTCATTGTGCTGCCCTGTTGCCTAGCCTTTTGTTGTTCTAAGCTTGTTTTTAAAGAAGTGTGTAGAGAACTATAATTATAGATTGCATGTTCACTTATCAAAAAAAGGTGTTTTTCTGTTTGCTGCACAATTTGGAATAGGTTATTTCAATGATGTTGTCTTATATTGCAATTGTGATATGATTTGCGTTATAAGGAGGAATACATCAATTGCAGTATTATTGAAAAATATATAAAAATGGTCATGATCTTTTTGAGGATATGTACCAAACGAGGATTTTTTAAATTAATTTGAAATGTATTGAGTTCAGTAGAATACCGTGTGAAGGCCGAAACTCTCTGAAACACTAGAATAATTAATTTTGATATAGAATTTTGTATTTACCAAATATTGCATTTACTGCGATTTCCGATTTCGCACCACTCCATTTTTTGCGTTTTTTACTTTGAATATATATATAATAATACTTTTTTTAAATGGTGCAATCCTGGAAAATAAATAAATAAACTAATGTCATTACAGCATCATTTATACAATGCCAAATAAAAAATTGACAGCATTTCATACTAATAATAATAGATTACATTTGTATAGCGCCTTTCAAGGGACCCAAGGCCACTTTACATGGTGAACAAACAAACAAACAAACAAACAAACAAACAAAAGGGGCGAATAATAAAGCACTATACTAAAATAATGTATTTTTCCTTGTTGTCGTCTCCCAGTCGGTGGCCAGCCGGCTCCTCCCTGCACCTGGGATGGTGCCACGTGGACGAGCGGCCGTGGAGCCATAACCCCCCCCCCCCCAGGACCACTGCTCCAGTTCACCCTCGGTCCTCCACGACCCTTCCTCACCTTTATCCTCACTCTGAGCCTGGACGTGGCCGACCACGGAGCCTCCAATGACTCAGCCACTGGAGCCCCTGATCAAGTAGGTGGTAGTATTAATGCAGTCTCTGTTAAAGTCCCATATGATACTGTTTTTCATCCAATATATTACAGGTCTCAGATATATACAGAACATGTCTTCTGATTGGCTGAACACCAACCATTCATTGCAGCATTACCCATAATCCCCTCTGTTTCAGCCCTGTTTCCAATGTGCTGTTCTCTGTCTGTTACTTTGATGAAAATAAAGGAGCCCCTCCCCCGCCCCTCTAAGAGATATTTGTTACCAAGAACTCAATGGTGCTTCTTAGGAGGAGATTCAGGTGATAGTTGGGAGGGGGTTACCCTTGATTGCTGATTGGCTAATGGTTACCACAAGACAAAAAATCGTTATTACATCATCAAGTGTAAATACTTCTATGTTACTGTTTTATATTCAACCTTGAGTAATCCTAGAATAAACCTTAGCATGTTACTTTATCAACTTCTTTTAAATGCGTGTACTAGGAAACTCTTCGCTAAGGCTCAAAGGCCATGTTTGTAGGATGATGGTAGAGGTGAGCAGAGGTCAATATTTTAATATTCAGGAGAAGTGAGCAGACAAGGAGCTGGATATTTTTTCTGTATTTTATTGAGGCTGAAGAGCCGTGGACTTAATGCTCTTTGCTAATGGGGAGCTGAACTAGCGATTTTCTGATCTATTATTCTGGTCAATAATTGTTCTGATTAAAGTTGGGGTAGGTATTCACTTTCAGAAACACTTTTAGTTATATTCATGGAATGCTCCTTAAATCCGATAGCATGAATATATTGAATGCTTGACAAAAAATCTATTAAAAAAAGTCATCTGTGGAAGGCCGTCGCTGCTGTAAAAAGCGACGACCAATCATGTTCATGGGGAAGCGCGGCCCGGCTTAAGTAACTGGGATGGCGCCTACCTGCTGTCAAGCCTTTCCATCTGTGCACAACTGTATCTCGTGCCCTCATTGGTCATGTGGCTCGGTTCCGGCTGTGTTGTAGGAGGGGGCTCTGGAAGGAAGTCTGAAGGAAGGGGCAGATTTCTTTCGGCTGCATACTTTCAAATTCTAGCGCACTCGAGCTGGTTTCTCCATTTCTTACCTCCCCACCTTTTAATCGTCTAGACCAGTGGTTCTCAGAACTTTTTTCAATAATGTACCCCCTTTGAAAAAAATGTCAGTCCAATACCCCTGATCGGCTAAAAATCAAATTGTTATGGAAAAATGCTATATAATAGAGGTACAGTACTGTGCTGACATCCGGTGTCGTTATTAATAACAACAACATTGTAACTGAGAACATTTAAGATGCTACATTTCAAATGTTTACAATCCATACTTTAATTCAATGCCAACCCGGATTTTAACATCATGCATTACACTAGACGGACATTAGTTGCATTGAATTGATTCTTTTTAATAAGTTGTTATTTTACAATGTAGTTGAAGACATGGGGCTTGAGCTTCACTGAGGATCTTTGCATTCTGACAGGGAGGCTAACTGCAGGTATTATACTTCGCGTTTTGAAATATGTGAACCATCTGTTCATATGA